GTGAAATGAGAAAATATTACAGTCTTTACGGACTGGTAGGCTCACTAAAATATGAAATGGTAATGATTTGCACAGAATTGTAGAGGTAAATCAGTCTGAGAGAATGTTGAAGCATCTGACTTTAATTCTCATGCTTCAATGAAATGCACTGCTTTTTCCCTCTTGCTGTTTCATTTCTCAAATGGCAAGTACAGGAGTGTATATATTTGCAGTATGGAGCAGATAACAATGCAATAGGAACTGGAAAACTCCATGAATATCAGCTTGTTCATATCTGAATTGCATTCCCTGAATGTTAAGGCATTTTTGCCGTTTCCAGGCTTCTTGTTGATTCTTGTAAACAGATGGAGCTCTGAAATGCTTGCAAGCTTCCACAATTACTTCAGTGTGTGCCACCTTTCAATTTTCTCTATTATTTCAGCCTATATTTTGTTCATTATTGTCATCTCATAATAAAACTGCACATCATGTTCAGAGAACATCTCAGTCATTAATGAAAAGATACCAGATTACCAATACAAATTTTCTTGGGATAGGTTATCAGTTCCTTTTCATTTCTATGACCTCACCTATCCATAGTGCTCATTCCCATCACACCTGGCTTCCATTTTAGTCAGTCATTATGAGAAAACTGTAGCATTTCATTGTCAGAGAGGAATTATGCCACAAAATTAAAGAGATGTGAAAAATACCTGTCTTGGAAGCATTATCTGACAAAGCACAAGTTTCCCTGATACAAACATAAAATCCTACAACCTCATTTTCTCTGATTCATAATTTCTGCATAAATACTTTACAGTATTATAAATGACATAAAACTGTGTGTGACTTGGCATTAATACATATTGGGAATGAGAAGCTATTAAGAAATGTGTTGTGAGCCTAGATTTATTTCTGTAAAACAAACTGTTTGAACAAAAACAGGCAGACATGTTAGCAACAAGAGGAAGCCTGTATATTGCTAGCAGTGAGAGCTTCAAAGCATTAAAAAGAGACAATCACCACTTTGTACTCACTTTTTTCTTTCAGTGCCTACATGACAAACACCCACGTTTATAAGGAGCTTCCCTATCTATGGTAAAGACAGAGATGGATGATTTTTAAATCCTTTTCAAAATCATGTGATGATCTTTTCCTCTAAATTCTAAAATTGCATCAGACAAAAAGATGAATTTAAAAAGGTCTATTATGTATTCAAGCATCCATGGAGCTATTAAATTAAAAAGGAGTGAAACAAACACTAACAATATTGAGACATTCCATATCAGAAGGAACTGACACATTCTCTCATTTTGATCACTGCAAATAAGATTTTGGTATCAGTGATTTTTTTATAGATGTAAACACTACAAAGAGTAAAAGCAAGAAGAAGTCCACTTGAGGAGTTTTATTCCTGCTTCCTGCAGCAGCATAGCCTCTTTTCATTCTGCAGCAATACATATTAAATAACTTAGGCCTTTTTCATTGAAACATAAAAGGACACATTGCACATATAATTGAGCAGCCTTACCTGAATCACTAGAAACCAGGAGGCCTAGATTCAGAATATAAGAGCATTTCTTAACTATAGAAGACCTATGTGCAAACTGTGTAAATGGCCATGCAATATCTGCATCATATACGTGTTAAACAATTCTGTTGTGGCATATGCATGGAAAGAGTGTCTTTAAAATGTCATATTTTTTGAAATACTTAGCCACCTGGATTCTCCCATTCTAACTTTTGTCATTGCTTTGTATTGGAAAACAGTTAGGACTGTTCAGCCATGGGGTCATTCAGCATCACTGAACCATGAATTCCCTGAAACAGGAAGAAATTATTATCAGCAGATATCCATCAGAATACTGCTTAGGCACTGAATGAAAATGGTCCATGCAAATGCTTTATAGATGCTCCTAAACAAATTAGCTGGTTTATCAAAACTGAATTTATTCATAGGAACACTGTCGTTTCAGACAGTTTTTGGTCAAATTGTTGGCAGCCACACTGTTGCTATACAATATTGTTGCTACATGCCTTTTCAGTACTTTTGAATGTTTTCTTTTCCTTAGAAACACATTTTCATCCTGATGAGACCAAAATCACAGTGAAAATAAAAAGTTAAAAATCAAGGTCAAGGTTTATATTAAAACATGTCAGTCTATGGAAATCTCTGGTGGATTATTGCTTTCAGAGGGACGGTTAGAAAAGAATGACATCCAAAAAGGTTATGGAACAAGAAAAATACTAGGCTTTGACCAATGCCCTTACCAGATGCTAATTTTCTTGCCTTGTATATTGATAATGGAGATATTCAAATCTCTTAACTTTGGTGCCTGGTGGCCTTGTACACAGGACAGAATGCTGGACATATAATGCTGGAAATTATGCCCCAAGACCACAAAAGTCCCATTAGCTTTTCATGGTGTGCTTTGTGAGTGGGTAAGCTACATAAGCAACAGTGTCCTGTGACACTGCAGATGCCCTAGGGTATTGCCCAGCCCCAAGATGGGTGCGCTGGCCAGCAGTGGCTGAATATGAGCCAGCAGTGTGCCTGTGTAGCCATCTGAGCTTATATCAGTGCTGGTGTGGCCAGCAGGAGCAGGGCAGTGACAGTCCCCCTGTACTCAGCGCTGCTGAGGCCACGGCTCCAATCCTGTGCTCAGTTCTGGGCCCCTCACTGCAAGAAAAACATTGAGGGGCTGGAGCGTGTCCAGAGAGGGGCAGTGGAACTGGGGAAGGGTCTGGAGCACAAGTGCTGTGAGGAGCAGCTGAGGGAGCTGGGAGTGTTCACCCCGGAGGAAAGGAGGCTCAGGGGGGACCTCATCATTCTCTGCCTGAAAGGAGGGTTCAGCCAGGTGGTGTCAGCCTCTTCTCCCAAGTAACAAGTGATAGAACAAGAGATAATGGCCTCAAGTTACACCTGGGCAGGTTTAGTTTGGATGTTAGGAAATATTTCTTCATGGAAAGAATTGTCAAGCATTAGAACAGGCTGTCCAGAGGGGTGGTAGTGTCACCATCCCCAGAGGTATTTAAAAGTAAAGGGTTTAGTGTGGACTAGGCAGTGCTGGTTTAGTGGTTGGACTCCATGGTCTTAGATCTAAATAATTTTTTGACTATATTATGTTTAACAGTTTCCTCATATAAAGAACTGACCTAAAATCCCATGCTTTAATCTGAAAAAGGGACATTTCTTATTTCTAATTTTATGGCATTTGTAGTTGGCATACACAAATTGCCAACTGGTTTACTTCTTGTCTGCATTTGTCTAAAATGCATAACATATATATATATATATATATATATATATATATATATATATATAGTCTGATCCTGCACTATTTTGATTGAACTCTGTCCTTTTGAAGTATTTAGAAACATACAGCTTTCCAGAAAAGGCAAATATTCTGTAATAACACTAAGGAGATCTGTCATCTGCCTCAGAGAGCTTGTGACCTCTTTTCACAAATGTTGGTTCTAAAGGAAATCACTAATAGTTAATAGTATAAATGGAATACAGATCTATAGAAATAAATGCAGTGGATAATTGAGCAGCATCTAGAGGACAGCATCCCATTGAAAAAGAGAAGAGCATGAACAAAGACTCTTTTCACCTGCCTACCAGCTACCTAAGGATCTACAAACCAGGGGATAAAGATGTGTTTTAGAGTCTGTGGGTTAACTGTAGAACAAGTGGTGCAAGAAGGATGGGATAAATTCCTTAAAAGATGTTCTCCCCCCTGGAAAGATAAACCAAATCTGTGAAGTCCTGAACATGAAGAGAACTGAAGACCCTTTGATGCACTCAAATATTTAATGATGCATTTTATCTGCAACACAAAAATATTAGGTAGGACTCCGCTTGCCTTTGATGAATTAACAGTTTACTTGCTCTTGCTTGATGATGGTACAGTTTTGCTGATTAGTATACACTAAAAGGCTGGTGTAACAAGTCAAATTATTCTTTTTGAAGAAAATTAAGAACTCCACAGAACATGTGTTTGCCCTCATTTGAGAGCTGTTTTCAACTTCATTGTTTTTCAGGGTGATATACTATTTGCTGCAGATGATAATAACGCGAATCTGTGTTAAAATTTTGTAATCCAGTTTTTTAATTTTTCCTTTTGGAAATTTTTTTAACTTTTTGGGTATCTATTTCCCTCCTTCTGAATGGAAGATGTGAATTTGGATTATCAGCTCTTTTCTGAATATTGCAAATTTTAATTTGAATTTCATTATAAAAGAAATTGAGGCAAATCTAATATAATAGATTTCTGAGATTTTATTTTTATCTCAGGGTTTTTTGTCTCTCATACTACACTGTTCATAGAACATCTTCTAGCTGCCTAAAAATTCTTCTAAATTATTAATGATATGAAAATAAAATAAGCTATTCATAATGTATGCAAGTGGGTTTAGTCACTAACATAGAATATGTTAGTTTGTGTCCTCAGCCATTGTTCTAAAAAGATATAAAGAACTGTTTGAAAGAAAGGCAACCATCCCTTCTGTTGAGAAACCTCTGACGGATCTACTAGGAATAATAATTATTAGAATGATTTAGTGCTTTCCATCACCCATATCACATTAAGTCTTGTGAAAGCTCTTCTGAGGTAAATAAACATTTCAGCACGTTGCCACAACTTTAAACATATTAACCACACATGTTAAATTCCTTTAGAAATTGTAGGGTTTGTATCTACTCTTTGTCTTCCTTTGAAGACTGCTCTGGGTCTGTGTTTCCTCACTTGCTAGCATGGGAAGGCTCACTGGCTATTGTCATCAGTCATAATGTATAAGGACATTTTTCATATGTAAAGAAGAGTGAGTAGTCGTTAAGAAACATTTAATATGAGAGCGAAAAAACCACATGGATTTCACAATTATCCGCATCACAGCCAACAATTATCTGCAAACTATAGCAATAATTTAAGTTTAGGTTATTTTGCATTGTTTATTCACTTTTGGTGAACACAACTGTCAGCAAAGTAGATGATTAATCTGGTTTATTCATATTACAGCTGTATGTAGAAGTTCAAATGAGAATCAGGAGACCCCACAGAAGAAGAAATGTACTGGATACTGTTGCTTGTTCCACAGAAAATGTCTCAACCTTAGTCTGAAAGAACTAAGACTGTTCATGAGTCAATGTGACATGCATGAGAAAGGGTAAAAGAGACTACACATTCAGGTACGTCTCTTTTGATTCTTGCTTTGGAAATCTCACTACTCACATTCTTAAGGTTTAGTGCTGTTCTTTAGAATCCTTACCTTAGGAATCCTTGGATCTTTTTTTATCGCTTTCTAGGCTCCCAGTAAAGTACCCACAACTCCTTTGCTCGCTTTAAAAGGCTTCAAATTACTAAAAGTAATACAAATATGATATTTTGGTTTCTAACCATACATACACACAAAGGCATGGTAAACTCTTTACCCTCCAGACACTGAGCAAGTCTGAGACTGGCAGCATAGTTACTGGGTGCAGCTATTGTTTCCTCCCCTGAATACCTCTGTGTCTAATGCTTAGAAGCTTGTTGTTTACATGCTAGCCTTCCTTGCTGTATTCATGCATATCTGCAAGTAAAATGTGTTTTATGAGGTTGACTCAAAACATACTAAACGACAGCTTTAAAATCCCTTCATTGAGCTTTGGTTCTGGGCTTATCTATGTGATTAGAAAGTCCACACTGAAAATTAAACATGAACATTTAAGAGAAAACCATAATCTAATTTTAAGATGGTCTGCTTTCATAGAAAGGTAATAACTTATCTTCTTAGTAATATACTATATATATATATATATATATATATATGTATATTTGAATAGAGTATATTGACTATACTTTATTCAAATGCTGCAGAGGGAGGAAAAACAAAACATCTCATTATGTAAAAATGGTGAGCTATGCTTGTTTTCTTTAAGTACATTCACCAGAGCTGAAGAAATTATCTCAGCATTAGGCAATTTCTCTCACATTCTGACGCTGGAGAGAAAAAAGGCATAAAAACCTGGCCAGAATGACTTTGCTTAGTATGTAACACGGGCAGAAGGACAGTTGAACTTCTGCAAATTTCTTTTCAGCAAGAGAAGTCTGTATTTCAAGTGTCACACATATTGAAGTTGCAAGGACTGTGGCTTGCAAAATTAAGAGTGAAAACTGCTCTGATGGTCAGTTTCCCAAACAAGCTCTGCTTTGAGCCACCAACCTTCACTGAAATAAGGACTACTGATGGACGTGGTTTCCAGACTCTATACTACCCAGAGCATTGCTGACCTTTTAGAAACATACTATGAGGTATTGTGGGCCTCTAGAGCCTTCTCATAAAACCAATAGAGGAGAGGAATCATCATGACAACAAAGTCAGCAATGAGGTACTGATTCTGATGTGTGACTTGAAAATTCTTTGTAGCCCAAGGGACATTTGGGTTGGAGTTCAAGACTCGCAGCATTTTATTTGCATGGAGCAACTTTGTTTCCTCCCAGGGAACAACAACATGATACTAGAAGAGGTTATTTTCAAATGATATCTTTGTTGCATTGAGCTTCACCAACAAGACCAACTCTCAGGAATATGTTACCCAGGAGTGAGGGTAAAGAACAGTGGAAGGAAGAATTTTGCTTGGTCATGGCCCACTGGGTCAGATACTCAACATCAGCAAATCCATGGGCCCTGACAAGATGCATCCATGAGTGCCAAGACAGCTGATAGATACCATAAATAAGGCACTCACAAACATCTTTGAAAGGTTGTGGTGAACAGGAGAGATACGTGAGGACTGGAAGAAAGCAAATATCATCCCAGCCTTCCAAAAGAGCAAGAATATCCTCATAGATAAACTCAGGAGGTGTGAACAGAATAGCCAGAGACTGAGGTGGATTGAGAACTGTCTGAACAGCAAATCCCAGAGGCTCACAATCAGTGGCACAGGGTCTAATTGGAGGCCTGTTGCCAGTAGTATCTCTCAAAGTTCAGTATTGTTTAACTGAAATTATTTTGCATCAGGCAGTCATTTTCAATAGTGCAACCTCTACTTCAATATAAAAGTGGCAAAGCGTTTGTCTGAACAACAGAAATACAGATAGAATAACTGAAGATGGCATAAGCATCCGTGCATACAGTCCTTTATATCACTTGTAGTCTGCTAGGAAAATTTGCATCTCACTGAACTTCACTCTTTCATGTTTATTGCTGAGCTGCACTCTACTCACTTCATATTAATTAGAAAAAAAAACCCACAAAACAACCACCGTGTAAGATATAAAGCCATTTGATCCTAAATCTATGTCTGAAGCAGGCCAAATGCATGATCCCTAAAAGCACCCGTTTCTCCGTAGTGGCTAAACAGGATGCTGACTTCAGAAGGTGAGAAATTTGCATCATATGTAGCAAAAAGAGATTAACTGATTCTCGCCTCTAAAAACAGTTTTGCCCATTTTGTTCTGGTTAACCAATACTTCTAGTAGATGCATAATGCAATAAACTTAAGTTCAGTAGCACAACCCAGAGAAATGAGCATTTGTTCTATGCTAGGTCATACACTATGAGGTCCAGTGAAATGTTTATATATATGCACTAATATATATGAATATCTACAGATATCTATGTTTTTACCTGTAAATATACATAAAGACCATCAGTGTAATGAGGACAATAAGGAAAAGGCCCAGGATATTTCCCACACAAGACCACACAAAACAAAAGAACCAGCCAATTGTTCACAAGTCAGAAAATTTAATTTTAGTTCAGCTTTAGATAGATGAGGCAGGTGATGGAGAGGTCCTCTTGTCTATAACTGCAAGAAGCCTCCAGCTGCCTGTGGGAAAATGGCACAGTATAGATGGGGCTGTGTGTGCTTCTTCATCCTTATATCAGTGGCATTGATGAGGGTCAGTGCAGTATCTCAGGTGCACAGAATGGTCTCACAGCACTCTCAGGTCTTACAGAATGCAAATGCTAATTTATTTTAGAATACCACTGACTAAGCCCCTAATACTCACATTTTAGCACACAAAGGAATGCAGGTAAGTAGTCTGGCAAGTATCCAGGGAGGCTGTCCAGGATGGCCTGCAATGACAAGCAGCACCAGTTTCCCAGTCTATCCCCCTACTTGCAGGGTTCTTATTAGGAGGGTATCAGTTGTGGATGAGCGTCAGGGATGTATTAGGATCCAACCCTCCTGCCTCTGTGAGTGATCTGGATGTACTCACCATCTCTGATTCTGCTGAATCATCTTCTGATTCTTATTCTGAAGAACTGAAGCATGTGGTAGGCATGGGGTAGGCTCTTGATGGCCTGCTCCTGTAAGTGTCAGACATTTGTATGGTTCTCATCCTCTTGCTATTTACTACACTTGTGTTTATATTTCCTATCAATTGATACTGGTAGAAATATTTTTATTGCAATTTTTCTATCACTAGAAGATTCCTGGACATATGTTTTCTAACATATTGCAGACACTTTTGTAAGGGGCTAGTTAGAAAAAAGAACAAAAAATGTCAAAAAATAAGGCAACTGTATAAGTTTCTAATGATCATAAAATTATTTCAGTTTCCTGCCACAGAATTAGAAATTAAGATTACCATTTAGTTTCTTCTGTGCCACCATTTACTCTATGAATTCTAATCTGATCCAATCTTTATATTCTGTTTCTTTTACAAGATAAGGATAAGCTGGTGTGCTTTTTAAATTTTGTATTCTCTGTTACTCCCTTTACATAATCTCTTTTCAAGCAAAGGGAACTCTTCAATCAAACTGGAAAATGGTGTAATATAAAGGGAAAGAGAGACTTGCCACTAATAGGACAGAGAGAAAGAATTCTGCCAAGTAATGGACAAAGTATTTCTTTTACCTATTTTTTTTAATGCTGGATTGTCATGCAGCATTTATGCTTCAGAGTAGCAGCTGCAGATCTCCTAAGAGTAGTGACACGGTGAGAATTAGTGACTAGTTCCACATATCCTCTTTATGAGAAAATCAGGTTGTTTAATATAAAACTTAGCTGTGTAAAAATAAGGCAGGCATTTTTGCAGAGTTCATAGGAAGTTAATAGGAAGACACATTTTCTGCACAATTACATCAAACATCATTTTTCATACAATGTTAAACACTGAAATGTACAAAAAAAAACCAGACAAAACTTATTTTAAGTTTTACATTTTTATCAAGAGCGGAAGAAAAAATACTGTATAATAGGAAGGAAAAAAAATCCTATTAAAATACTTTATTATTAAATCATTAAGATAATCTGAAAAGTTGTTTCAGAACCATTACAATATATGTCAATGTATTGTCAATACATATAAGAATGTTAGCATTCAGAGACAGAATAAATCATGAAGCATCTCTTTAAGCCTTTCTGTTGGTTTGATTCTTCTCTTCTGCAGAAGCCCTAGAATGACATCCAGTTTGAAATCTTATGGTTCACACAAAACAAAACGATATTATTTTAACAAGCACTATTAATGATGCCACAATAAAGTGCCATCACAAGAATTTTCCAAAATAACGATTCAGTTGACCTAACTGGTTTATTTCAAATGCACCACCCCATCCTGTTATAACAGCATTACATTAACCAGATAATATCTCTCTCTGAAATAAAGACTTGGAGGAATTTTAAGAAGTCACATAATAGATCAACTTTTATTTTTGTATGGAACAAACCTATTCAGCTGGCAACATCAGCAGGTATAAATCTTCAAACAATGAACTAAATTACTCCCCGGAGACCTCGTTCTCTCTCACATTCTGTTTGCAAATGACCTGTCACCCAAACTGCTGATTCTCTGCATTTGTAAGCATTATAGTACCATTTTGTAGCTTCCATATCATAACTTCTTTACAGCAGGATCTCAGCATATTTTGCAGTTATTAAGTAATTTAACTTTGCAAAAGTGAATTATTGCAAAGTGCAGAAGCCTTAAGAGTCTTCATTTTTTAAAGGTGAAACCTGAGGTGCAAACTGGCTAACCACAGCCTTTTCATGGAAAAGCTGAACATCTGCACCCTTGAAAACAAGAACAATTTAAGCTCAGCAAATTCTACAGTCAGGGCAACAATGAAGGAATGAAGAAGAGAGACAGCCATCATTAGAAGATTTGGAGAATGCTGGGTGGGTGTTTTTTGGAGCATTCAATACCCATGTTACTCTAGAATAATGTTGCTTTAACAGTAATTAGTTATGCAGTG